TTCCATATATGTCTTACTAAGCTTCATCTATTTATTTATTTAAATCATCTTATTTTGTTGCTAACTATTATAGTTTTTATTGACTTGAATTCGATAATTCTTGTAGATTGTCCTTTAATTAATTATTAGTAACAATTTCTTGATTAATTTATTGTAAAAATTCTTATTATTATTATTCTTATTTTGAAACTTATTAGTTCAGCACTGATATTGAAGTAGTCATGTTTTTCTTCTAAACAAGTAATTTTCTGTTAAATTTATTTAAAAACTAACTTTTCATCTTCAATCTGTTGTTGTAAATCTTCTTTTTGTTGTTTAATTATTTTTAATTATTCATAATTTTCCTCTGCCTTAATCAATTTTCTCATTTTTTCTGAATTTATTTCAAATTATTTATATTATTATTACATTTAAGAAAATTTAGCATTCTCATTATTATTATCACTCTCAACTTAAGTCAATTACTCAAGCTATCCTTGTTATTATAAATTGTTCGCTTCTTTCTATAATTCCATCTATAAGTCAACTGACTCATTAAATATAGAGATATAATAATCTTGCAATTAGCATTTGGATATGAATTCATGTATTTCAGAACTTTTTTTATTAATTTGTGAATCGTTTCTTTCTGATTATTATAAATCTAGTAATAATATATATTAAATTTTTATCTTTTTAACTTAACAAATCAACTATTTTTTCAACTTATTTTTCTTCTAATTCAAATATCTATTTATTTTCTAAATTAATAAAATCTTTAAAATTTTAAGTATTTTGAATTAACTATTCATTAATAGATGTAAGTATTTCTGATAATTAATCATTATAATAGTCTCGTAGTTACTTAATTTCTTTTATAGCCACATTAAATGTTTTTTCTCTTTTGAAATTATGTTTTGAAATTAAATCAGTCTATTATCCCTTAAATTCATTCCATCTTTTATTCGCCTCTTTCAAACTAATGTATTAAATAGGACAATCTTCTATGCATTCCACACATGCGAGTCGACTGAATTCAGGTTCATTCAAATTAAGGTTTAACATGATTATTTCCTTGTTATGTTTGCTACATATTTAATTAAGACAAGGAGTTTTCTAATATTATATCATAAACTTACATGCTATTCGAATTCTTTTGTAACAACGATTTAGCTAATTGTTAAATTGTTATATAACTTGAAGTTGTAAAGTTTTGATAAGCAGGAATCTTATTTTCTCATACTGCTGTAATATTTGAAAAATTATTAAGAAGCTTAACCTATTAAATTCATTGTAACATGAATTCATTTTTCTTTTTTCTTTTTTTTAGATATGAACAGCAATCCAGTTTTGAATTGCAATTAGTTTTTTTTATAAATCTAACAATTAACTTGAGGAATCCAATAGCATATGGAGAAAAGACCTATTAGAAAACTTCTAGAGAAGAACCAATTTAAAACTTGGGTTTATGCTAACATACTAGGTATAAATGATTATGCTTTGCTACTAAACATACATCCTAAATAGTGTAAGTTGAATGACTTCCTTTCACTATATAATTTGGGAGAACATTCTAAATGCAAGAGTAGTGTCATTTAAACAATTTTCAACTCCAATATCATAATATTCAATATTACAATCACAGGTAAAAAGCAGATCATTATATATTCTGTTTGATTCACTTGAAGGATCTATTAATTTGGAACACAAGATAGAAGATTAACAACATTGGCCATTCCAAAATTATCAGTGTAAATTGAAATATTATAAATTTATTTAATTAATATTATTTATAATAGATACATGAATAACCAAAGATAATTTAATCATCACAAATATTGTAGTGTAATTACATTTCATTCAATTATTTAGTCTTAACAAGTCCTTAATTATACTTTAAGCAAACTTGCTCATCGTCTGGTATATTTTTTAAATTTATTACAATATGCAAATTATAAATACATTTTTATAATATTCATTTTAAATAATTGCATAAAATCATATTTTAAGTTTAAAATAGAATTTCTAATTAATGATTGTTCTTAAGATTTTGAGAGTTACTCATCCCCTTTTGTAAGTTAATTCTTATTAAAAAAATATAACAGAAATGAAAGCATTATTTTTCCCTAAGTAATCATATTTTTATTTAAATATCGATTTAATTCT